CTGGTTTTTCTGTCTGTCTTTGTCGGTTCGTCTTTGGTCATGACTATTTCGTCGGTGAGTGTTCTGTTTTGTCTTTGTTGTTCACCTAGCCTTGAAATAAAGGAATTATCACTTTAATCTGAATTTGGGTCCTACCTGCTTCACACACCGTGACAAAAATGTTGCTGCTAATATAATCACATGCTTGTCAACTTTAACTGATCAAAAATAAATTCTGAAAAAATACTTGCATTATCTATGAAATTGCAATATTGTCCCTCAGTTTGTTTCAACCCCGTCACGCCATACCATTTACCCTCCTATTAAAAATAATGGATCAGTCCATGTGTGATCTGCATTGAGGGAATTACATCACAAAAGTGTCAGTTTCTTCTCTTAACTATATTTCAGTTTTTGTATTTTCAGATTAAGATTGACAAACTCAACATTTCAACTTATAATTAAGTACACAAATGACATCACCCATCTCTTCAGAGAGCTGAAGGTGACCTGTGCAGCAACACATTTCAATCAATATTTGTCAATACTAAGAGCTGCTAGATTGTGCTGCTGTAATGGAATATGTAAGGAGAATAAGAACATACCGTGGTCCAGCTGGAGTTTCTTCTGCCTCCTGATCCCTGCCTCTGTCCCTCTTTCTGACACTTCATCTTTATTCCTCACATACATTTATTCTTCTTTACTAATGTCTTCATCTCCTCCTCTTCCTCCTGCTCTGACCCTCCTGGTCTCTTCATCTCCTCCTCTTCCTCCTGCTCTGACCCTCCTGGTCTCTTCAGTGAACTCTCTTTTCCTTTTCCTCTTTCTGTTCGTCCTGATCACTTCTCATGTCTTTGTGTTGTTGTTGAATCACTCCTATACTCTGGCCTGCAAGAGTCTACTTGTGAAAAGCACTGGTACAAATGCTTGTATAACTTTTCGCGTTAGGGCCATGTAGCCTAGCTAATATGTAGCATATCATATAACATCAGAAAGTATTGATCAAGCGCACACAGGCAGCTGTGTTTGGATCCAGTTTTTACAGTAAAGGATGTATCCTGGTTTCATTGATCTGGCCTCATGGCTGTGATGTGTAGTTTACGTGGATTTAATAGTAGGCTACCGCGTAGTTTAGCAGAGTGATCGATCTCCCAGCTAACGCTGTCTGCTTAGTATTTTGTAACGTAACGCCCCAAACAGCGCCCGTCTGTTAAACGCTATCGATTCAAACGGCAGCGTTTTATTAATATTTAGTTTCAAGCTCTCGTCCTTAGTAAAAACAAAAACTAGTGGAAGGGGAAATACTCCCAGGGGAAGCTGATCCATAGGTGCTGGGACAGCTCGCTCCCTCTCTGCAGCGGTGTGAGCCGCGGTCTGTGTGAACGCCGCTCCGCAGTTTAATACAGGGCCGTAGCTGCGTTTTTAACGGGCCTAAAATTATATTTAAAATTATTCACTTTTAACTAATGTAATGCTTGTTTTGTTCCTTGAGAAGCGTGTGGAAATAGTGTAGGTTTGTTTTAGTACAGTTTTAGGGAAACAAAAGTTAGGGGGGCAGCTGGTGCCATCTTGTGACGTGACGTCAGATTTCACAGACATGATTAATGTTCACTGTCCCTTTAAGTTTCGTTTTCAGGAATTGTCCGTTAGCTGACAGCGCGCTGTTTCAAACAGCTGACAACGTTGCAGCATTACATCCATTTACTAAGCCATTGTCCAATACAGCTTAATATATCCAATACAATCTACTTATCATGCTGCACGGTGCACATACCCGGCCGCTTTCCCAGTCTTGCTCTCAGCCTCTTCGGTCCTCGCAGGTGGGAACAATCTCCAGCTGATTGTGGCGTGTGCAGCTGATCCGTGATGACGATGTCGATTGTGCATTAATCAAATTGTTTGTTTCCGTTGAAAACTATCCTTAATCCAATTTTAAGTGATTCTTATTGTCCAGTTTCACTCAAAGAGTGCGATTCCACTTAATGTAATGGCAATTTCCTTCTCCTATGTCCTAGATATTTTTGCAGTTACTTTCACAGAAGGGCTGACGAGTGATCCAGACGCAGACACAAACAGATGATTTCCGGTCCTTTGTTGAAGTTTATAATGTTGTTTATTCAGCTTTACATACCAGGGTTAATTGTACAGTTTCTAATTGTTGTGATGAGCATCTGCCGGGCTGGTGGAATCGGTATGCTCTCTTCCTCCTGTGTCCACACCTCTCCTGTCACCTATGACCTCCTTATATACACCCGGTGCAGCTAAACCCCGCCACCCAGTGTTCATAAATAATATTGCACTATACATATAACTCAAATAAACTGACACACCAACAACACCCACAAAATGGCTCCTACACACACTATAGACAGCAGTTCAGTAAAGTCATCAAAAAGCTTGCACAGTATTTGGGTGGTCTATAGATATTTAGGAACAGAGCTCGAGAGGAGCATTTCAGCTGAAGGGCCACATATTCAAAAGAAGCAAAGTTTCCATACGATGTCTTCCTGCATTGAATGGAATCATTGAACAAAATAGCAACTCCACCTCCTCTCTTATGCATTCTTTCCTGACTCATAAAACTAAAGTTGGGAGGGGTTGATTCGATAAGAACAGCTGCACTGTTATTTTGTTCAATCCAAGTTTCCGTTAAAAACATAAAATCAAGATTGTGCTCAGTGATAAAATCATTGATTAAAAATGTTTTTCCTGCCAGAGACCTGACATTTAATAAAGCTAGTTTAAGTTTGTTAAACACACTATCAGTAAGATGTTTTGTGACAAGCTGTGGCTGACATGGAATCACTGCTAAATTTGATAAACTCACACGAACGTTTGAGCACTTCCTGTTTCTAAGCTGATTCACCGCTCTTAATCTATTACCTATCAACACAGATATCGGCAAAGCTACTGGCAGGCAGGGCCCTGGCATGTCCTGGAAAGAGTTGAGAGTGCCATACGCCCTTGAGCCTGACACACACATCCTTATCAGGCTTCGGAGACTGCAGATGCTTTCTTGAAGGGAGGGGAGGTGGTTGACGTAGGCACGGTGATGGAGACGGGGGAGATGGTGCGGGGGTAGAGGACATGCTGCCAGGGGGGGGAGGTGGTTGACGTAGGCACGGTGATGAGGACGGGGGAGATGGTGCGCGTGATTTTGGTGGGCGTCGTTGAGGAGCGGGGGTAAAGGACATGCTGCCAACCCTGCTTATCGCCTTAGTTTGGTCTTTGAACTCCCGGAAGGAATCGGTGCCAATCCTCTGTATCTCCTTCGTGTGTGTTCAGCGATTTCCAGGAGGGTGGGCGAGGGTGAAAGGGTGAACGGAGAGTAGAGAGAGCTGTGGGGTGAAGGAAGAGTATCCTCAGAGGTGATAGGGGGGGTGAAGGGCGGTGGAGACTCCTCCATTTGTCTCCCATAATCCGAACATTCCTCAGGCGGGTGCAGTGATAGATTTTCAGGGTTTTCTGAGCGATGTGTTGTGTCTTTCTCTTGTTTTGATTCCTCCTGCCGCTTGTCCTTGGCAGAGGGAACAGATTGATGACGTAGGCAGTTGAATACGTTAGAGATAAACAATTTCACTCCTGACTTGTTCAGACAAACTCCATTTGCCTTAAAAAGATGTCTAGGGTCCCAGAAAAAGTTAAAGTTGTCAATAAAATTGACAGAATGGTCAGTACAGGCAGTTGAAAGCCAGGTGTTCAGTGCAAACAATCTGCTGAATCTCTCCACTCCTCTTCTGACTGGCGGTAGAGGGCCACTGATGAACACCTCTGCATTTAGAGAGCTGACAGTTTCCAACAGAAACTGTCATGGAGACAATAAATGGAGACAATAAAAAACATTTATTGTCTCCATGCGAGACCACAGAGCCCGGCTGGTATTATTTGTGTAAAGGATAATGTGCAGCGAGGCGGTCATTCTGGGTAAAAGAACACCCGACAAGAAGATCAGGAGCCCGACGAGAAGCATGCAGTTTGCTTTTCGGCCAAACTGTATACAGTTCAATCGAACAGACTTCTTTGTGCAGATGTGAGCGTCCTTAACAAACAGTGGCTATTCAACACATGATGATATATCTCTGGATCTAAGTGTACATTTGGCACTGGTCAAATACTGGTCTCATTAATGCATTTGGGGTTTGAACCTTTGACCTCTGAGTCTCAGCAGCCGGTCCCCGTGCTGTGTGATGGATCAGTATGCAGTGTGAGGGCCTCCTGCTGTTAAACACACACACTATCAGTGTTTGTGGCTTCCAACAAGTTCTGGTCCAGCTGGCAGCAAGACCCCGAGCGCACACACACACACACACAAATATACACGTGCACACACACACACACACACACACCACACAACACACACACACACACACACACACACACACACACACACACACCACACACACACACACCACACACACACCACACACACACACACACACACACACACACACACACAGTTTATTACAGTGTTGGTAAACCTAAAAAGAGAATATAGTGTTTGTTGTGTTGATCAGCTGTTCTCTCTTCTCTGTCAGCTGTTCTGTTCTCTAATACTTTCTGTGTGAATCTATCTCTACTTTCTGAATCTGCTTTCTAGTTTTCACTTTCTTTGGTTCATCTGTTCTGTTTTTAATTCAGCAGGTGAACCTATATGTTCATCAAACAGTCAAATCAAGTGCTGCATGCTCTCTTTTCTGCACCAGTGGAGATACACTTCTGGACAAAGACTTATCTAGAGTATAGGGAAATCATTCAGGCAAAAATATACATGCATGTCTCCAATATCTTTTCAGAACCCCCCCCCCCCCAAATCCAACCAATCAGGATGGCACAGCTGTTGAGAAATGTAGCTGAAACTCAGAGGGATGTCAGTGAATAACGACGCCCCCCACGAAGGATTTATTTGCAATTTTTAATACTTTTTCTTTAATGATTACACAGATCCTTGAGTCGAGTAACAGAAAGCAGAAGATCCAACTTCTCCAACAACCTTGACCATTTTCAAAAAACAGGTAAAGAGATTTTGTTCAGAAAACCTTTAATTGTTAATAGAATTAGTAGTATGACATATTTCAATAAATATTTAGATATATACAGATACAGCAGAAACGGTACATTCTTTTTTTCTCTTCAAATTGCTTCACATTTTTTTGTACAAGCCAAAATATCTGCCATTGTATTTATAGTCATGCAAAATATTGTTTTTCTCAGATTAATGAAAAATAAAAAGGATTTGCTGAACTTTTCTTATATATTTTTTTTATATCATCCTGCTTCGATGTGCACTTTTTCGGATTATAAGCATCGTAATGAGCATTTCTGCTAAAAATCAAACAGGGTGCACTTTGTGCCAATACACAATAGAAGCAAGTAAAAGCAAAAAATTAAGGCCATTCCAACTTGTGCAAAGAAAAATAAATAAATAAATATATTAATCATAATAATGTTTCCTTTAAGTTCACAGCAGCTTCACTGTATTTGTCCCGTCTCCCTTTCGGATTGTACAATACATACAATAAAATACAAGAGAAACCCAAACCCCCGGAAACCGATAGAGTCATTAATCGCCGACAAATCAAACCATGCTACTTTAAAATCCAGTTCAGAACCTCAGGATTTTTTTATAAACGTCCGAAAAAAACACATCTCCCATTGTTCAGTCCGAATGCATCACATCTCAACGTAATGCAATATAAACCCAGTTTCTATCTCATGTTATGAACCCTCCCCTCCCCCCAACCCACACAGTATAACAATGATTAATACAATGATGTGAGGCCTATGACAAAGCTCTAAAATGACTATGGTATACACAACACCCACGCCTGAGGAAAAAAGGGTATGAATCATGTAAACATGGTAGTTGAATGAATGCATGATATGCTTTATAGGTCCTCGTTGTTTCTCATATTCAACCCCCATATGGCACGAGAAGATATGTAAGCTTTAGAAAAATGGACGACTGCTGTTGGCAAAATGAGGACAGGACAGTGCTTCTCACTTGTTCCAGATGCAGTGTCTATGGCACCGAAGAAACATACATACAAATAATAAGGATCTTAATTAGGCCGAGCTTTCCTAGGCCGTGATCAGAGAGGAGGCGAAAAACAGGGAACAAAGGGGGTTGTTTTCGGACTATCTTTGACTCTGAAGGGACTCCAAGTGATGCTAGGTTATATTTGAAGATCCAAAATCAACAAAATCAATATTTATTTCACGATTAGCAATCATTTAGTTGGGCATATCCAAGGAAAACGTAAAAGGCCGCCTCTATCACGAACTCTTTAGCATCCTCTTATTGCAGTTTTTTTACTTTTGTTGTTTTTTACGGAGTTCTCTCGTCTCAAATGATGCACGTGTTTTAATCTATATGACATAAATTCACTCTGAAGGGACTTGAAGTGATGCTAGGTTATATTTGAAGATCCAAAATCAACAAAATCTATATTTATTTCTTGACTTCCAACCATTTAGTTGGGCATTTCCAATGAAAACGTAAAAAGGCCGACTCTATCATGAACTCTTTAGCATCCTCTTATTGCTTTTTTAATTTTATTTTTACTGTTGTTGGTTTTTACGGAGCTCAAAGTCAAGAAAATATATATTTATTTCTTGATTAGCAATAATTTATTTTGGCGTTTCCAATTAAACTCCTTGGCATCCTCTTGTTTTTACTTTGGCTGGTTTGTTACGAAGCGGCTAGACTCCCAAAAGATATATATTTTGAAATCTTATTTTCTTAAAATTCACTCATTTGTATGAAGAACACATTTTGGGTACTTGTAAGGAAGTGCTACATATCGTAAATAGCTTGCGCTGCCTTCAACAAAAATCTGTAATTCGTTAAAATAGTTACTAAATTCCCTTTACCTGATTAAAGTCCATGCCTGTTCCTCTTATATATTGCTATGTTGCGTGTACGTACTTTAGCATAAGAGTTGAGGTAGCTAGCAGGACAAGTTTAGAAAATATTCTGAAAAACGTTGGCCTTTTTTTGTTTGAGTTTTACCATGAAATATAGTAATGCTATCTAAAAAGTTGCACACACATCACTCACAGCTAGCTTACTAGCATGTATGCTAGCTAGCTTTTCTGACTGGTCCTCTTAGTTTTTGTTGGAGTGCTAACTGTGATGCTAGCATGAAATAAAGACCAAAATAAAAGGGTGACATTTTGACAAACAAATAAATGCTTTCTAAACGTTGCACGAATGTCCTATCAAGCTAGCTAAAGTACTCTGTGCCTACTCTCTCCACGTCTTGCTACGTTTCTCTCTACAGATGTAAGCCAAATAGTTGATTTCTGGCAGTTTTAGCTAGAGAAACTGTAATGTTTTTTATTTCGACATAAGAGACGACGTAGTTAGCAAGTTGCTAGCGAAATAACTTTTGCATTTATGAAAAACTTGGGACTTGTTGTTGTTGGCGTGCTAGCACGTAAAAATACCACATGCAATTTGGATAAACAAATAAATTCAATCTAAAAGTTGCACGAATTTCATTCACAGCTAGCTAAGTATCATGTATGCTAGCTAGCTTTGCTGACTAGCTAGATACTCCCGCTACGTCTTGTTGCATTTCCTTGCAAAATAGTTGATATCGGGAGGTTTTAGGTAAATAAATTGTAATGTTTTTATTATTTGGACTTCATAAAGCTACATGTAGAGTTGCTTCGCTAAAAGGATGGATGCTATTAAGCTAATACTGTTCGCCATGAAGCTAAAAGACAAAACGTTAATACTTCTAATTTAAACTTTGTCTAAATCTGATGGTTTACAACCTAAATGCAAGCCGTTTGCATTAAAAAGAGTGAAGAATAAAGCATCCTTGGTGATCATGGCCTTTAAAGATTTACTGGGAATGAGTTACTGAATTAAATGCATCGTTTTTGCAATGATGCTATGGCACTTCCACTTTAAAATCATGACATTTTGGACTCAGAACAGAAGGATGTATGTGCGTGGCATAGCCCTTCGGATCAGTTTTACACACTTTGATAATAATAATAATGAATTAAAAGTCATAGTAGTACATGTAGACTCTCTTTTACACACTGTAAGCATTTGGAAAGAGATAGGGATTAATGGGGTGGTGTTTAAAACATAAGGAAATACAAGATTGTTGAGGGAAAATACATACATGTTTCATATCAAAATATGCCTTTATATATATTATATCATTTAATTTAAATATCTGAAGTTAATCTGGCAATACTGCATCTGGCAATCATATTGAAAACACAAAATGAATATGATTTCACATCCTGCAGAAACATCTTGAACCACTTGCCCGGCGACAGCAGCAGCAAAAGGCAATGACAACGACACGAGAAATGTATTAAAAAAAATCATCTTTGGTTTTGCGTCAAAACCAAGTTGGACCGGGGCTTAAACATTTTGACACGAGACGTTTTAATGGAGATTTTAACTGGAACTAAATCATGTTTTCCTGTATGTGAGGTCTTTTATTTCGAAACGTAATCTGGTTAACCTTATCTCCTTTTTGATGAGAGCCCCACAACTTTTTGGGAGTAATTTCACTGGCAGTAAAAACAGATTTTGAGGTTTTCGCCTATCACATTTATGTTATTACCTACAAAGAACCCAATTACGATGCTCAGTAAGGCAAACAATTAAGCAACGTGATTGGATATTGAAGATCGGCGTTGATTTCTTGTTCAATTAGAAGCTATAAAGGATCTATTTCCTGTCGTTCTGCTGGTGGACGAGTGGTTGACACTTAAACTGGGATTTCCTCGGATTCTCTGTGTTACTACAGTCACTACTTTGACTTTTAACACAACAAATGTTTACTTTGCATAAACAAAATACATCTCAACGTCATTATCATTTGTTCATTTTGAGTTCTGTCTTAGAAAACTGGAATACGGCTCGCGCAGAAAAATACTTTTATCCACTTCTGTGACCTCTCTTTCCAATTTTTAAAACTCAGTCTGTTTGCTGCTGATTTCTTCATGAGGCGAAAGTCCCTCCGGAATTTGGCAATTAGTGACTTTGTTTTATCGCTCTATCTTCCCGCATTGCTTCAATATTTACCGTTTGTTTAGGGATGAATGAGGCAGCAGCAACTCACGAACGTTTTAAGATGGCGTCGCTGAAAGGAAGGCAAAATCATAATTGCATATACTGATCATTGCATAGAGAAGCCTGGCGCAAATCAAAAAAGATGAACCTGCAGAATGATCGAATCCCGTCCAACATGGCAAACATAAATCCAGTTTTTAATTCTCCATGAAGCTTTTTCACAAATGAAGACGCTCGCAGCTACAGTGAATGAGATGGAAATACAGTTAATTAAGGTATAACAGGTGCTATAATCTGTTTCAATTCACTACAATATGTCCTCTCAGCTGGGGAAGGGTGTCACATTAAGGCGGGGTCAAAGCAAGGAAGCACTAATAAGGATGTAAACATATCTGTGGTTCTGTCCCCCATAAACACAACGAGGAAATCCAGGGATTTAAACAAAATAGAAAAACCCGGAAGAAGCTTCGCGAGGAAACGCCGATCAATTCGACGTCCAACAATCCGCATTCCTCTTGAGAAAAAAGCTGTTGTTTACTTGGCACATAAATTAAGAAACAAATATGAGATAAATGAAGGACAAGTAGAGGAACACCACAGATACGTTTGATATTTTGTCTCAAAATCAGCACTGCCCGTTTCAGTGTTACTCGATTTTTTTTTTCGTTTGTCCAGTCGTACGTTTGACAGCGGCAGCAGAGAAAACCTCTCTCAGTCGGAGGTTTGTTGGCGGGGAGGAAAAAGCGTTGAGGAGTGCTTGCAATACACATTTTGAAGCAAATCTAGATATATAGAATGCGTGATCCTTGCATCGATTTATTTAATGGAAGCACCAATCTGCCTTCTTCCCTTTTTTTTGGTGGGGTTGTGAAAAAATCCCTCATTTTCCAGATGCCCGCCTTTGCAAATAAAGTTATTTTTTTCTCCGTTTTATGATAGATATATGAGTATATTACACTGCTTCTCGTACGTCCCCCACCCCCGTCCCGACATCTCTTTTTCATATAGAATTATATATCTGTCTCCGTCCAATCCCACACAGTTTGTTGGGCTCCAAGAGTCTGTTTGCTTTGTCATCTTTTTCATTAATATATTGCCACATTCATATATCATGCATTTTACTGCATTGCTATTGCACTGGTTCCGGATTATTCAGGAGGTGTAAAGAGCCGGAATTAGTTGGGATTCTGGGAGGAGAATAAAGGGGAAAGAAAGCAATAAATAATGTCTATTGGGAGGGGTTGAGGGAGGCGAAAAAGCAACTTATCCTCGAGGAAGTCAAGGAAAGGAGACTCGAAAATCAGGGCGGCAATGAATGATCTCTCCTTTTGAAGTCATCTCTCTCCGTTTTCCTTTCCTTTTTTTTGTGTCTCGTCTTCTTCGCACTGTTTTCCTCCTCCTGCGCCTCTCGACTAAGTCATGTTGTGGATGTCCTCGCTGCGGATGATCTTGTAAGTGATCCAGTAGAAAGTGTTAAAAATGAGGAAGACGAGGGGGAAGGCCACGCGGGAAACGGTGTCGATGCGTTTGGCCCGGCCGATGAACAGCTTCTTCATCTCGTCGATGGTCTTCTCCCCCGGGTTGGTGGTGGGTGGGGCGTTGTTGTTGTTTCCTTTGATGGCCATGCCGTCTTTGTTCTGGAGGCACGCGGGACCCATGCCGTAACCCGGGAAACTGAAGCGGCCCTCGCCTGTCTCGTCCTC